GGCGGCCCCGCGGTCACACGAGGCGGTCACGTCGTGGCCGCCGGCGTCTTTCTTCAGCCAGCTGCGCTGCGCACTCGCCCCCAACGCGGCCCCCACCAACAGCAGCAGCAGCAGCGGCGGTGGCGGAACGGGGCAGGACTACTTCCCACGGTACCTGCGCCTCGTTGAGGAGAGCCTCCACTCGTACGCTGTGACGGATTCGTACTTCTTCCCCAGCAGAGTGCAGGCGGCGGTGATTGAGGTGTGGAAAAACATTTGGCCGTTGCTCAATGGACACGAACGCAGTTTGGTCATTGACGTTGTGCTGCAGCAGTTTCCTGCTCGCCACGCGTTGCAGGCGTTTGTGGCGCAGAACCTGGTCACTCTCAGCGATGCAGAGGATCCGGTAAAGGAAGGTGAGACGGCGTCGTCGAGCTCTATGGGGCAACAACAACAACAACAGCAGCGACGGCTGGTCTCTTTGCAGGAGTCTGTGCCCCCCGGGGCCCATCCCGGCTCCCTCATGACCCTCATGGAATTCCTCCGATTCATTGCCGGTGATGGCGGGGTGGAGAAGCAACAGCAGCAGGAGGCGGTGGTGCTCTCTGCGGCGCCGGCGGTGGTGCGTGTAGCTGGTGTGCTGCTACTATTAGAATACGCCGCGCCAGAGGTGCTTGCCGCGCCTGGGCCTGGTGTGCCGTTTCACGTTCCTCCCGACTTCTTCAACATGACGGAGCGCTGTCTGCAATTCTTTCTTGTCGATGTTCTCTGGGGCACTTCCTTTGCCTCTTTTGGAGTCTCGCAGGCGCGGCAAGCGCCAGCAGAGAGTGTGACCTCGACATTGTCCACCTGTCGTCGTGAAGGCCTGGTGGCGTTTGCCACAACGTTCACCTCACTTGTGTCGCTCGCTAGCACGATGCTGAGCGTCACTGAGGCGCAGCCCAAGAGTCGTGGCTCTGCTGCGGCCGTTGGCAGTGGTGCCGCGGAGGCCCCCGAACACCTAAGGCGTGCGTTGCAGCGCCTCGAGGGGTTGGTAATGCTGCTGAGCGAGCTCATCCCACACGTGATACGCTGCTCTGGTGACGTGGGCGCCGCGACAGAGCTCCTGTCGGTGCTCGTACCATCCTCTTCGGTAGAGTCGCCGCTCTTCGCTGGCGTTGCGAGGCGCAGCTTGGACGTCCTGCGCCGCTGGTCAGTGCCGACCGCAGACAATCCCCCGGAAGCAGGAAAAGGCGTCATGGCCGAAGCCATTGTGATGTCGCAGCAGCAGCAGCAGTCTGATAGGACAGCAGTAGGAGGAGAGGGAGTCGGTGCTGGGATGCCGCCACTCCTCGAAGAGGAGGTAGGCAGTAAGCTGCAAAGTGTGGCGCGTGCATCGATGAGCGCCCGCAACCGAGCGGTGCTGCAGCGGTTCCTCGGCAACACCAGCAGCGATGAGGCACGGCAGATGGCGAAGACGACTCTGCAGACAATTGTGCTGCTCTACCCGCCCGACCTTGGGCGTCGTCAGCAGCAGCAGCAGCAGCAAAAGCAAAAGGGTTTTCTGTTGGGGAAGGAAAGGGGCGCAAAAGAGAATGATGATGATGGTGACGATGAGGAGGAGGGAGAGGAGGAAGAGGATTGCAACGGTGAGGAAACAGAGGCGCTGCAGGGCATGCTGCTGGAGCTCGCACGCGTCGTTGCTCACACCGGCGACGACGCGGAATTCCGCTCGCTGTTGTCTGGGGCTCTGCTGGGCGTCTGCGCCGCGCTCGGATTCCCTTCGTCTCCGTGAATGTGCGCGTCTATGTAGGTGTGGTGTGGCTGCAGTGGGACGAGGAGGGAGGGAGGGGGAGAGGGGGGTGGACAGGAGGAAGGGCAAACGGCTCAATTGGTGGTCCGTGTGACGCGTATCCTCCGCCCCGCCTACGCTCTGTCGATGTTCTTTTTGTGTGTGCTTTTTTCCCCCCTTTACTCCTTCGTTCTCCATCTCTCTCTGTGCGATTATGATTGCGGGTGTGATCGAATGCCCGTCAGACGAACGTAACGCTGGTACGCCGCTGGGCGTGTGTGTGTGTGTGTGTGTGTGTGTGGCTGTTGGTGCCCACGTGCATGGGGAAGCACAACAGCAGCGTGCATTGCAGCCATGTCTCTTTGTTTTTCTTGTTGTTGTTGTTTTCATTCTTCTCTCCTGCCTCACCAAGGTGTATCCCATCAGCAGGAACAGCCGTCTTGCGCCGTTGGTGTTGCTGGGGGGTGGTGAGAGAAAGCAAGAGCGAGAGAGGGAGAGAGAGAGAGAGAGAGCCATGCCCGTTGGGACCGGTGAGCTCGCCTCGCTGCGGAAGGAGGAACTCGTTCGGCGAGTGCTCGAGATGCAGCAGGAGAACGCGTCTCTGCGTGAAGAGATGGAACAGCTGCGCCTGCGCGTGCGCAGCACTAGACACGTGGATGTGAATGATCCTGTTCCACTGCAGCGGCAGTTCAATGAGATGTGCACGCATGCAGTGGCAGGAAATGCTTCTACGGCGGCGAAGAACAGCAGCTATAGCATATCCTTTTCAGTCATGGTTATTGAAAACGGCACGGCCATCTCCGTGCCGCTTTCCTCAGTAATAGATAAGAGCTACATGCGACCTGACCTTCGTGAGGCCGACACGCCTGTCGTTGGCTCATCGTGGATGCGTGACGACTCGGAGTCGTTTGCGCGGCAGTCTACGGAGAGCATTGCCGCTGAGCGCTCGTCGAGCATGAGCACCGAGGAGCCCATCGGCAGGGGCAGTGAACTGCGGGGCTTTGCTGTGTCTGGTGGCACTCCCGTGGCGTCTGCCGCTGCTGCCGCAGCAGCTGTATCGGCGTCTGGTGGTAGGCCATCCATCTCGCTCGAATTCACGGTGGGCGACGACGCGAATGAGCCCGCACCACAGGATCCTGGTTCGAGCCGGATGTCACTCTCCTTACAGCTACAGCAGTTGCAACAGCAACACCGTCGAAGCATTCGCCATGAGCTTCGCCGGCTGAGTCTAGGGCGTGTGCTAAACAAGCGCGCAAACTCGCTGGATCCTGATGCATTGGTGTCGCATCAGACGCTGCGCACTTTTCACCAGCAGTTTCTTGACGGCTATAGCGTCATGTCCCCCCTCTCGTCGTACGGCAACGCCATCTACCACTATATTGTGAAGAACTTTGCGGTGCGTAATGGCTGCCGGCACAACCCCTCCGACCTTGAGGGCTTCGGCCGCACGTTGTGCAGCCTTTGCGGGGAGGTGAAGCGCATTCTTCAGAGCGAGCCGCGGCACGGCAGTGTTGTCTCGCCGTGCTACGTCTTTGGCGACCTCCACGGCAACTTCTGGGACCTGTTTTACTTCCTCGACAACCTCATCTCATTCCAGGACCTGCGCTATACCCCGCACCGCTTTCTCTTCCTCGGCGACTACGTGGACCGCGGCGAGTTCAGCGTGGAGGTGGTGGCGTACCTCTTCGCCATGAAGGTGCTGGCGCCGGAGAAGGTGCTGCTGCTGCGCGGCAACCACGAGGACACCCTCGTCAGCGGCGACATCTCCGGCTACGGCAACACGAGCTTCCGCGCGCAGTGCCGCAGTCTCTTTGGCTACACCCTTGGCGAGGAGTTGTGGCAGCGCGCGAGCGAAACGTTCGCGTATCTGCCGCTGACGGCGAACATCGACGGCCGGATCTTCTGCACGCACGGCGGCATCCCACGCTACCGCGGTGGTGTCGACGACCGGCTGCTGCTGCTGAGCCGCGACGATTTCCCCGCGCTGGAGTCGCTCTTCCAGGTGCCAGAGGGCGAGACGGCGCAGCAGCGCGCCTGCCGGCAGATGGCGATGGACACGTGCTGGGCCGACCCCGCCGAGGACGAGAGCGCGCTCGACAAGTGGGGCTTCGGCGCCAACCCGCGCGGCTCCGGCGTCATTCTCTTCGGCTCCACCGCCGTCGACGACTTCCTCGCGCACTACGGCTTCGAGTACATCTTCCGCGCCCACCAGGAGAAGTCGGACGGGCTGAAACTCAGCAAGAGCGCGCGGGTCTTCACGATATTCAGCACGAGCGCCTACGTTGGGCACGAGAACGGCGCCGGTGTCGTGCTCGTCGCGGATGGAAAGATACGGTTGATTATTAAGAACGCCGACGACGCCAGTAACCAGGCGACTGCTGAGGTGAGAGAGGAGGAGGACGACGACGAGGAGGAGGAGGAAGGGGGTGGTGTTGTGGACGGTGGGGAAGAGCGCTAGCGGCAGGAAGAGCAACAAGTTTTGCGGCTTGTGAAGTGGAGACATTTTCATCTGTGTGTGTGTGTGTGTCGGGGCTGCGGTCGCTTGCATGCTGAGACGCGGGTGTGTAACAGTTGTCGCAATCTGACCGGAAGGATGAAAAGGAATAAAGAGGGGAGAGACAGACTGANAGAGAGAGAGAGAGAGAGGGAGAGGGTGAGAGCGCGAATGAGAGGGAAATGAAGGAAATGAACGCGGAGGGCGGCGGGTGTAGAAGCACGAGGAAAGCGGTGGAGGGGGGGGAAGGAAAAAAAGCGAAAAGGCAAACCGAGAGAGGAGAGAGTAATGTCAGATATGAGCATGAGAGGAGTCAGCGCCGTGCACTCCACCTGTGTGTTCCCGCTTCTGACTGCTGCTTCTGATGACGATGATGGTGGTGTTTCTGTCGCATCTCTTGTCAAGCGATCCCACACGGGGACGCAAAAGCGGCGCCCCACCCCCCTCCTTCTCCCCGTTCTTGCATCCGCACTTTCACGCACGGCACCTTTTTGGTCATGTGTGCTGGCCACCACGCTGCCCCTTTCCTCTCCCAACTGTCGTCGTTGTTGTGGGAGTGTCCCACTCATATATATATATATATATACATATATAGGGAGAGAGAGAGAGAGACAGACAGACATGAAGGGGGGTGAGGATAAGAAAGTGCGCGGCCGCTCGCTGATGCCAGGGCAGCGGAAGGTGCAGGTGGACCCCGATCTCCTCGTCACCTCCGTCTTCGACACTTTCCCCGAGCAGCAGGACAACGTTGTCCGCGTGTTCGATGAGGAGGGATGCCTCACGACGCGTGAGATTGGGGTGAAGCGGTTTCAGTTCGCGCGGCTGTCCATCTTCCACACGCTGCGGTCGCTGCCGTGGTCGATCCTCATCACGTACTCCATCCTTGTGTATCTAGCCATCCTCTTCGTCTGTTCGGTGGTGTACTTCACTTGGGCCCATGCCTGTGGGGCGAGCGAGGGGGTAACGTGGGCAGCCGCGCTCTACTTCACCGTCGTGAGCCTCGCCGCAAACGGCGGCTACGTTGGTGAGCAGATGGACACGATGATTTCGCCCATCCACGTCTGCTTCGTTGGCCGCACCATCATCGTGATGGTGCTGTCGTACACCAACATCATCTTCGTCGGGCTGGTGGCGGCGCTGGTGGTGGGTAAAGCGGAGTACAGCGGGAAGCTTGGGCAGCGCGTGGTGTTCAGCGACTTCTGCTCCCTCACGGTGGTGCCGGGGCGACGCGACCACTGCTGGCGCCTCACGTTCCGCATGGCGAACAGCATGGGGCAGAAGCCGGTCGCGCACGGGCGGCTGCGCGTCTTTATCATCTCGGCGGAGCTGCTGCAGGACTATCGGCGGCGGCGCAAGGAGATGATGAAGGAGTACTACGGCAAGCTACTGGAAAGGCAGCCCACCAGGGGCAGTGGGGGCGGGGACACGTTGCGTGGGCGTAGTCAGGCGCTGATGAGCCTGACAGCCGATCGCCTAACAGCCGATCGCCTGCGCGAGCAGCAGCAGCAGCAAGAGGGCAGCAAGACGCTCACATCAAGTTTTGCGTTGCAAATGGACCCCCCAATCGACCCTGCGGTGTCGACACGTTTGCGGCGGCAGCAGGAGCACCGGCGGCGTCCTTCCGGTGGTAAACTGCGCCGCCGTCGCCCTCGCCAGGCTGGCGGACAGGAAACCGCTGACGACGATGAAGCGACACACAAAAAAAAATCGAGCTTGATTAGTCTTACGACTGCTGTGAACGTGGCAGATCCGGGGCAGAAGGAAGGTGCAGCGTCCTCACAGACGGCGGGCACCGAGAGTAGCAATGTCCAGCAACAACAACCGCAGCAGGAGCAGGAGCAGGAGCAGGAAGAGGGGGGGCAGCCGCAATCACGCACGCGTCCTGGTGTTCCCCAACGCTCCACCTCCGCCGCTGGCGATGACTCTTCCAACTCTTCTGAGTCGAACCCGTCGGTCAAGACGCACCCCAGTGACGGCAGCCGTGAGGCTGGCGGGGGTGAAGCCGATGGAACCGACGAAGCGGATGACTTTGAGCGCGTGCGGATTTGCGTGGAGGAGGTGCGTTGGTGCTGCTCCGAGGAACGCTACCTCGAGGCACGCCAGGGGCAACTCTCGCTGTGGTTCCCAGTGAGTATCACGCACACTATTGACCGCCAGAGCCCGCTCTACCGCTACATGGAGCGCGAGAAGCCGGGCTCGCCGACGCTTGGGTCGTCCAGGTCCACCGCCGGAACGTCGACGGCAAAGGCAGCAGCAGCAGCTGCAGCAGCAACAGCCGCGGGAGGAGGAGGAGGAGGAAGAGGCGCAGCGGCGTCAACGTCGCCACGATCGTTCCAGATAGTAGCCACCTTCGATGCGACAGACATGGACAGTGGGGCCACCATCACGGCGAAGCGCACGTATACTGTCACGGACATTGTGGCGCACTATCGTTTCTCGAACAAGCTGGTGCGCATGCGGCCCGGCAGTAGCGAGGTGCTTCTGGACTACCATTACTTTAATGAGATGCTGCCCGTTACGGCGGTTGAGTCATCGACGACAGATAGCGACGCGCCGTACGACAACGTCTAAAGGGGTATGTATAAGAAAAGAGAAATGAAGCCGCACCTCATCGCCGGTTTGATTTTTTTTTACTGGATTTCGTCCCACAACCGCTTCCCTGCATGTGGCTGATGATGCTGATGATGTTGTTGTTATTTGAGGCAATAGTAATAACTACAGGAAAGGTAATACGCCAAGCAGCCAAACAAACACAAAAAAAAAAGTCTTCTTTATGCGAGAGACCACCACACTACCGTGTTGCGTTTCATTCCTTGTTCATTTCGTTTTGTTTTGTTTTTTTATTTGTTGTTGTTGTTGTTGTTGCTCGCTCCTCTGCGCGGCGGCGGGGGAGGGGCATCCCACCCGGTCTCGTGGTACGAGCGTCTGTGTTTGTGTGTATCCCCTCTGTGTATGCTGTCCGTCTTCTCCTTCTGCACATTTCCACGAGACGCGGGAAGATCTGTTGCGCACATCACACTGCAGGATGGAGAAATACAGAAAGTACGCCGACGCCGCCACTGGCATCAACCCCTTCGCGCAGGTGCGCACGCCCACCGGACTCTCCGTTGCTGTGGCGGTGCTGCTCTTCCCACTGCGTCTTGTGAGTGCGTCCCTCGTCGCGCTGCTGCTGTTGCTCGTTGTGGACGTGCTGGCGTATGCCTTCTTCCTCCTCCCCGGCCTCTCGCTGGTGTCACGCCTGCTGCTGGCCCCGTGCCAGCGTGGACTGCTGCGCTGTCTGCTCTTCACCCTCGGCAACATGGGCGTTGTACGAAAGGTGCCGCGCGGCGGGAGCGGAGGCGCCGCACCGGCAGCCGGAGACGTCGTGGTCGCCAATATGCAGTCGGTGTGGGATATGTGCGTGCTTGAGGTGGCCGCGCAGATGCCGTGCTGCGTGGTCGCCTTCTACGTTGGAGGGGCAGGCGATAAGGTCGTTGCTGGTGGTGTCGGTGGTGGTGGTGATGATGATAATAAGAGAAGGAAGCGCGACGACGCGGCTGCGTTGTATGTGCTTGAGCCGTCCCCGCTGCAGCGGTGGCGAGCGTGGCGGCACGTTTACCGCACTGCATCACTGGACTTCCTGCACTCTGTAGTGGTAGAGAATAGCAACAGCAGCACCAGCAACCATAGCAGCGGTGGTGCTGTCGTTGATCTAACCCCAGTGCAGCAGCGCTGCCAGCGCCTCGGTGTGCCCCTCGTGTTCTTCGCTGAAGGGAGCTGCACGAATGGCAAGGGCATGCTGAATATTCCCCCATTTTGCACAGCAGCGCCGCCACGGCGAGTGTTTGTCAGCGCCACGGACTACGACACAACGGCAGTGCACACAATTGTGCACCCACGCCACGTTGTGTCGCTCCTCTTTGCGATGGGTGCGTCGCTGTACGGGAGCCGTGACCCCGCGGGGTACAGCCCGCCGTTCCCCACCGCCACTGTTAGTCTGGTGGCGGTAGCGGAGAGTGCCGCAGCAGGAGGAGCAGGAGCGGCGGCGGGGGTGGTGATTGATGTTGCAAGGGTGCGTCAGGCGTTGTGCGCTGCGTCCCGGTCGAGGCGCCCGCTGGCTGTTGGGCTGCGTGAGAAGTGCGGCTTCGTGCAGGCCTCCACCGCCCAGTCGGCGGGTGGCAGCTAGAAGACACAGGGAGCAAGAGCCACACAAACCAAACCAAAAAAAAAAACAAGAAATTTCGTGGATGAAAGGCGGACGCAGCTCATTATTGCTGGATATGGCGTTGACCTGGGGTGGCTTTACCTTGTTGCTCCTGCTGCTGTTGCTGTTACTTCCTCTCT